GAGTAGGAGAAGAAGAAGGAGGAGGAGAAGAATGAGGAGGAGGAGGAGGAGGAGGAGAAAAAGGAGAAGGAGGGGGGAGGAAGAGGAGGAGGAGGAGTAGGAGAAGAATAAGGAGGAGGAGAAGAATGAGGAGGAGGAGGAGGAGGAGGAGAAAAAGGAGAAGGAGGGGGGAGGAAGAGGAGGAGGAGGAGTAGGAGAAGAATAAGGAGGAGGAGAAGAATGAGGAGGAGGAGGAGGAGGAGGAGAAAAAGGAGGAGGAGGGGGGAGGAGGAGAAGAAGAATAAGGAGAAGGAGGAGAAGAATGAGGAGGAGAAAAAGGAGGAGAAAAATAAGGAGGAGGAGGAGAAGAATGAGGAGGAGGAGGAGGAGAAAAAGGAGGGGGAGGGGGAGAAGAAGAATAAGGAGGAGGAAGAGAAGAATGAGGAAGAGGAGGAGAAAAATGAGGAGGAGGAGGAGAAAAAGGAGGGGGAGGAGGAGAAAAAGGAGGACGAGGAGGAGAACTGTGGGGTCCTTGATGCTCTTTGAGCTTGGCGGTTTCCTTGAAGACGTTTCATGACCCAACTGGGTAACGTCATCAGCACTAGTGCGAATTCCCTCTGTGGCTCTTTCACTCATCGTTACCCAAACGTTCGGGACACTGACTCAACTCGGTTTTCTCTGCTGGGATGCTAACGGCCTCTCTTTTTTCTTTTTCTCCTCCCGCAGATGGGTAGACCAGATTTTGGACATTTGGCCCAATCTATGGGGGAACAGTTGCTTCGGCTCCACCATCTCCTCTTCTACACTTTGCCCGGGACGCCCTTCACCGATTACGGAGATGAAATTGGCCTACGGGACATGCCGGGACAGGTAAGATCAGCCATAGGAGGTGGCCAACTTTGGACAACATGGGGCAGTGGTGGGATTCAGCCGGTTCGCACCTATCCGCGAGAACCGGTTGGTAACTTTCTAAGCAGTTTGGAGAACCGGTTGTTGGAAGAAACCTCCTTTTGATTTTTTTCCCCACTTTGCAGGGCTAATCCTGTAAGGAAGGCAGGAATTCTGGTGTTTTTATTAGCTTAATTTTTATTGCCCTGTTTACAAAACTGCCTCTCCTGTTAACCCTTATTACCATTGTAACAGCCAACGCGAAGCCCCCATCGACGTGAGTGACATTGAATTGGCCACACCCACCCAGTCACATGACCACTGTGTCCCACCTACCCAGCTGGTCATTAGGAAAGAGAACCGGTTATTAAATTATTTGAATCCCACCACTGGACATGGGGGTGTATAACTCTGTGTGCTCAACGATGGAGGATAGGGGGATATTTTGCTGGCTTCTCCCAGCAACAATCCTCTTTAATTTCCCCTCCAGCCCGCGACATCCAACATCACACGCATGCAGTGGGACAACTCGGCCGATTACGGATTCTCCAGAGGGGGGCAACAGCTGGATGAAGGCAGCAACGTCACCGTGCAGGTAAGAAAAAAAACGTGGGAGAGAAGCTAATTTTGCAGGAACGGGAAAGAAAAATTGGGACCGAGATTCAGGGCCAAGAGGGTAGAAAGCGAGAATTGTAGTTCCGCCTTAGGGATGAAAGCCAGCTGGGTGACTTGGGACCAATCACTAGGAGACAGGGAGTTCTAGTCCCACCTTAACTATGAAAGCCAGTTGGGTGACTTTGGGCCAATCACCAGGAGGTGGAGAGTTCTAGTCCCGCCTTAGGGATGAAGGCCAGCTGGGTGATTTGGGACCAATTACTAGGAGACAGGGAGTTCTAGTCCCGCCTTAACTATGAAAGCCGGTTGGGTGACTTTGGGCCAATCACCAGAAGACGGAGAGTTCTAGTTCCGCCTTAGGGATGAAGACCAGCTGGGTGAATTGGGACCGATTACTAGGAGACAGGGAGTTCTAGTCCCGCCTTAACTACGAAAGCCAGTTGGTTGACTTTGGGCCAATCACCAGGAGATGGAGAGTTCTAGTTCCGCCTTAGGGATGAAGGCCAGCTGGGTGACTTGGGACCAATTACTAGGAGACAGGGAGTTCTAGTCCCGCCTTAACTATGAAAGCTGGTTGGGTGACTTTGGGCCAATCACCAGGAGGTGGAGAGTTCTAGTCCCGCCTTAAGGATGAAGGCCAGCTGGGTGACTTGGGACCAATCACTAAGAGACAGGGAGTTCTAGTCCCGCCTTAACTATGAAAGCCGGTTGGTTGACTTTGGGCCAATCACCAGAAGACGGAGAGTTCTAGTTCCGCCTTAGGGATGAAGACCAGCTGGGTGACTAGGGACCAATTTCTAGGAGACAGGGAGTTCTGGTCCCGCCTTAACTATGAAAGCCGGTTGGGTGACTTTGGGCCAATCACCAGGAGATGGAGAGTTCTAGTTTGGCCTCAGGCATGAAAGCCAGCTGGGTGACTTGGGACCAATTACTAGGAGACAGGGAGTTCTAGTCCTGCCTTAACTATGAAAGCCGGTTGGGTGACTTTGGGCCAATCACCAGGAGATGGAGAGTTCTAGTTCGGCCTTAGGGATGAAGGCCAGCTGGGTGACGTGGGACCAGTCACCAGGAGACAGGGAGTTCTAGTCCCGCCTTAACTATGAAAGCCGGCTAGGTGACTTTGGTCCAATCACCAGGAGGTGCTTGGGAAGCCTCATTCAGAACAATCCCCATCGCTCGATTGCAAAAGGCAGCTTGTCTCGGAACAGCTTCTAGGTGACAACACCAGGCGCGAGAAAGCTAGAAAAAATATTATAACCCCCTCCTATCCTGCCCGGTTTTTCCAGGCGCAGCAGGGCCACAAGGGCTCCGTCCTGAGCTTCTTCCAAGAGCTGAGCGAGCTTCGAACCAAGGAACGCTCCCTCCTGCACGGCGAATTTCACCTGGTGGAAGGCTCGAACACGTCCGTCTTCTCCTACCTCCGGGTCTGGGACCAGAACAAGCGGTTCTTGGTGGCGCTCAACTTTGCCCCGCAAGAGAGAACCGTCTCCCTCCTCCACTCTCACCTCCCAGCCCAAGTAGAGGTGGAGCTGAGCACCCACCCCAGCCGGGAGAAGACGACGCTGGATCTGCCGAACTTGAAGCTGCTCCCGTCGGAAGGGCTCCTTCTCAGCTTCCCCTACGTGGCCCCCTAGTCAGTCTTCTCCTGGGCCCCTTTTCCAGGAGATGTGCCTTGAATTCCTCAAAAGAAGACACTCCAGCTAAGGATGTCTCTCCGGAACTTGCTAACATTCTTCTTCTCTATCCAACCAAGGATGTCCCTCCAGAACTTGCTAANAGAATAGAATAGAAAAAAGAATAGAATAGAAAAGAGAATAGAATAGAGTAGAAAGTGTAAAATATAGAATAGAATATACAATAGAATAGAATAGAAAATAGAATAGGAGTAAGATATAGAATAGAATAGAAAACAGAGTTGGAAGGGACCTTGGAGGTCTTCTAGTCCAACCCCCTGCTTAGGCAGGAAACCCTTCGCCACTTCAGGCAAATGGTTATCCAACATCTTCTTGAAAACATCTAGTGTTGGGGCATTCACAACTTCTGGAGTCAAGTTGTTCCACTGATTAATTGTTCTAACTGTCAGGAAATTCCTCCTGAGTTCTAAGTTGCTTCTCTCCTTGATTAGTCTCTCCTTATTTGTTGTAATGTAACATATCTCTCTTTTCAGATGTGAAGGTTATCTTGGACCTGACCCCTAACTATCATGGCCAGTTACCCTGGTTTAGCCAAGATGTATGGCTTCAGGGGGATTTCCAGAACAAAATGAAAGTAAGTGAAGGAAAGCATGTCCCCGCCCCCAAAGGAAAACTTTTGTGTATGTGTGTGTGTGTGTGTATTCTATATTTGCTAGTGGAGCTCAATGAAAACCGATTTTATTATTATTAATTGGCCAAGATTCATGGGGAAGTAAAACCAATTGTCACGGCTAGGGTTGGCGGGGATCACTGAGGACTATTAACTTGTCTCATTCTCTTCTTGACGTTCTACCCTACAGGAAGCAATCCAGTTTTGGCTGAGGAAAGGTGTCTCCGGAATCCAGTTCGGAAGCATCGAGCATTTGAATGTAAGCAGATTGCCCCTCCTCAGCCCCCTTCCCATTCGGCATCTGCTGTCCCTTTTAATTTCTATTTCTTGGGGGGGGGGGCTTGCAAGGGGAAGAAAATTGGGGTGCTAAAACCTGGGAGGGGGCCCTCCAGTCTCAACCAACACCTCTCAATCCTGTTTATTCGACAGGATCCCCAACTCTTGAGTGAGTGGAAGAACATAACAGAACAAGAGGCTGTTGATGATCAGCGTGGGTGAGTTAAAAACAGGCACATTTCTTAAGAAATCGTTTTCTTTCTTTCTTTTTTCCTTTCTTTTCTTTTCTTTCGTTCTCTCTCGTTCCCTCCCTCCCGCCCTCCTTTCCTTCCATCTTCTTTCTTTTATTCAATCTTTCCTTTTTCTTTTATCTTTCTTTCTTCCTTCCTTCTTTCCATCCTCCTCCTATCTTCCTTCCTTCCCCTCCTCCTTTCCTTTTCTTTCCTTCCTTCTTTCCTTTTTCTCCTTTCTTTTCTTTCCATCTCCCTTCTTTCTTTCATTCCATTTTTCCTTTCCTTTCTTTCCTTCTTCCGTCCTTCTTTCTTTCCATCCTCCTCCTATCTTCCTTCCTTCCCCTCCTCCTTTCCTTTTCTTTCCTTCCTTCTTTCCTTTTTCTCCTTTCTTTTCTTTCCATCTCCCTTCTTTCTTTCATTCCATTTTTCCTTTCCTTTCTTTCCTTCTTCCGTCCTTCTTTCTTTCCATCCTCCTCCTATCTTCCTTCCTTCCCCTCCTCCTTTCCTTTCCTTCCTTCTTTTCTTTTCCTCCTTTCTTTTCTTTCCATCTCCTTTCTTTCATTCCATTTTTCCTTTCCTTTCTTTCCTTCTTCCGTCCTTCTTTCTTTCCATCCTCCTCCTATCTTCCTTCCTTCCCCTCCTCCTTTCCTTTCCTTCCTTCTTTTCTTTTCCTCCTTTCTTTTCTATTCTTTTTTCTATTATATTCTTTTTTCTATTATATTCTTTTTTCTATTATATTCTTTTTTCTATTATA